TTGAATTCGGTTTTCAAGTAGAAACATTTTGTTACCAGAAGATAGCGGAGAAAAAACGGATTCCTTATATGTGCTTTCCATTGGATTCTATTGCGTCTGTGTACAGAGAAACAATAATCTGTGTGCATGTGTCATATAGGATGGTGTTATTTGGCGTTTCTTGTTAATTGCCCTACTAATTAAAGGAGTCCATTATCAGTCGATCATTATACACCATTCGATAGCCCTTTTCAAGAGCTACATGTCTGACGGTTCAAATTTGAAAAAGCTCATTTTCGACTTTTTGGCCCAATGTCCGCTTGAATGCCCACTGTGGGACGTCCGAAAATTTTGGTCCGTTAGAATTTGAAAAAGCGTTATCAATCACTGGAGTGGAATTTGGTGTAGGAGTAGAATAATAAGAATTGAAATACGTATTAAACATGTCAAACAAAATTCTTTGACCGATGACGAGATGTGCTTTCACATATCAGACACAAACTGAGGTATGCTCAACCTTCCATTCTTAAATTTATTTATAGAAGTCCAAAAAAGTGTAGGGTCAGAAGAGAGAGGGAGAATTTTTCCAAAATGTTTTTTCTTATCAGTTCTGACGAGTTTAATGACAGTGTTCCGCAGAGCCTTGCAGAGAGAATAGTTTACAGCTGTTTTCATCTCTATAGTTTTAAAATTTTTACCCGTTAATAAACGTAACTCTGGTATATTGTCTAAAGCATTGTAAGATCGCATTTAGAAAAGGCTTTTACATATCTGTGTTTTGCTTGCGAAGTAGTAACATTAATGTCAGAGGGAAAGATTAGAGTAAAGTGAATAGAACAACCAATAGAAGGCTGATCCGTAATCATAGGGGGTTCAAGGAAGAAGTAAACAGTAAGTAATCAAGGCAAGATTCTTTTGTGGTGGTTACTACAGAATGTGAGCATTCTAATCCGAAAACACATGCCAAGTCGCGTAAAGCTTTGTGCAGTGGCTTATCAGATGGGTCCACGTTAAAATCTCCCACAACGAGTAAACTGTCGTATGTTGATGGCAAAGATCCCAAAATAAACGGTTCCAGTTTAGAAAAATATCCTTCCTGAAATGAAGGCGGGCGGCAAGAATTAAAAATAATGAGGATAGGTTCGTTAATGGTGACGCTTACTATGAGAGATTCTGTGTCAGTATCCATCGCGATAACAGAGTGTTGCAATAACACAGACTAGACTACCACCCCCATGGCGATTACGATCTCGCCTATAAAGAGAATAGCCACCAATATAACACTCTTGATCAGAAATATCAGATGATAGGTTGGTTTCCTGAATTATGATGTAAGGTTTTGCTGAGAAGACAGTGCAAACATTGGCTTTCCTGGAGCATATCAAAATGAGCTGTTAGGCTCTGTATGTTGCGGTTGAGACCAGTAAGTTTGTAGTTAGCCCCGTTGCAAAAAACATTAGAACGAAGCTAATGGGTTCAGATTAGACAAAGAGACAGGTAAACTGCTATCAGACGACGAAAAGCCAATGTTAGTGGGATTTCGAGAAAGAGAGAAACTATCAAAGTGGTTAGATCCTTCAGGGTTACACATAAAAGACTGGACTGACGTTTCAATTGGTAGTTCAATATAGTATTTGCAGGAATAAGTGATTGCAGGGTAAAAGACACAAACTTGGGCACAAAGAGATGAGTGAATGTCTACAGAACAAGAAAGTTAACTGAAGAGTTGACAGACTGGAGCAAAGAAGTACTAAATTGAGAGACATAGCAATGGCAGCCATCAGAAGCAGACAAAAAGGTACGTGTGTCAAATAGCGGAATAGAGTCACTAAATATACCTCGGAAATAGTCGTCAATCGAGCGACTTAACTCACCAGTTCCTGAGTCACTTAAATGGATACCATCTTCACATACCATCGATCTATTATCATAGTTCACTTTGATAATATCAACACCATCAACAGAGGTCAACAAACGATTATATTCCATAATATCATTACGTACATGATCAACTGAAGATTTAGTGCCACGAATAAGAAGAGGAGACAATGTTGTTAATGCTAATAAAGATTGAGGATAAGATTTTCTGAATGACTGGACGAGTAGTTCTGTTTTGTTTAATGCAATATCAGGGTCGTCATATTTCAAAGTAATTGTACCAATATTCATAACAAAATGAGGAGATGGCTGAAAATGTTTGTCCTGTGAAAATTCTGTCATTTGTTCGATGGTACAGCCTTTCTTTGTCCGGATTATGAAACGATACGGTTTGCTATTTAGATTGACTGTACCGGGTTCAAGGTCTTGAGTGATACTCGACCTTGGTACGGTGACTAAAACAGGTGGCGGATGGATAAATGACTTTTGTGGAAAGAGTGGATTCGAATTAGGGCTAGTACTATCAGATTTCACTTGAGTTCATATTTGCTAACGATGTAGGTGGTATTTGCGAAGAGGTAACAACAGCAGCAGCATACGAATTAGAGTGGTTAGACCTGTTGTCGGTATGATTAATATCATGACTAGGTAACGTAATACTATCCGAATAAGAGATTGACGAGAGACTACGATTGCTTTGTACTGTTGGTGATGAGCAAAACTTTTTGAATCAAGATTGTGTGGAACGATTGATTACTGACGAAAGCTTGTGACGAAAGCGTGTATGATTGCAGAGAAGAGCATGCTGAACTAAGCAAATTGGCGTTGGACTGATATTGATGCTGATATTGAGAGTACTGAACTCACTGTCGTTTTTCCACCTAATATCCACGTGGTTGCCCACTGTGAGTTCATGTTCTAGTTATAATAAAAAAGCAATAACTATTTTCTTTCTGGCTGAATTTCTTGAAACTTCTTTTTGTTTATCCAACATCTCCTACTACTACTAAAAAATGACTTCTTCAGCTAATGCCATGATGTGAGGGTGAGTTTTCATTAATGGCACCTTTCAAATCAAATTAGTCAGAACAAGGGAGTTGTGCGCACTTAGCGTTATCCTTGTCGGCAAGATTAGACGGCATAAAAGTCAGCAAAAACTACGTGCAATCTTTATTATAAATAGCCAAAAGATATTTAAAACAGAAGAAAATAAAATGCTGCTACAGCAAAAAAGAAGGGAAAGTTTAAACGGCCACATTTAGTCCGTAAGATGAGTCATTAATATGAACAGAACACTATTTTTCTTCTTTCTTCCTTGTTTATTCACGTCGATGGCTCACAAACAAAAATTGTATTGTAAATTAAAAAGGAAAAACATGTGAACGTCAATTTCCATTTCTATGGCAAAAATTTATGTTTAAATGACAAGAAAAGGTGAGCGTTTAATCGAGGAAAAAGTTTCTCTGTGGAAGCAAAAAGTGGAATCAGAAACGTCGTACATGTCATGCTCCGCTGTCCCAGCCCAAATACTTTGAAATTTCTTCAGTCATTTGCTTCGTAGGACCTATGGAACTTAAAGAAGTAGCCAGGACTGTTGCACTTAGGCAAAGTGTGATACTCTATCAACTGTCCAGTGGATCACCTTCACTAGGAACAGAATAAGAAAAATAATATAAAAGAGAAATAGAGAGGAAAAAATGGTTGTTTAAACTTGTTTTAACAAAATTGTTTGAATTTAAACATAAACAAATAAACCTATTGCGGCAATTTTTGAAGAAATGTGCCATTTTTTTTTATTTAGTTTCCTAACATATTTATTAAAATTTGGGATATGCAAGACATTTGGAGAAATGTTTTTAAAAATCTCATCTAAATATTTAAATGAGCCATTAAATTTAAATAAAATAATTGTTGCTTTAAAATCTCCTTTGGTTTTTCTTGAAAATGAGAGTTTAAACGAAAATATTAAAAGGTCTCATTTTTTAATTTTTGCGGCACAATAGCAGTACGAGCGCAAGTTACTCATCTTCATGTAGATGTGTTAATGATTTTAATTGAAATATCGTTTACTGAAGAAACTCTCATGTTTATATAACAAGATCGAGACTTCTACTATATCCGCTCGTTTAACTACGTTAATCATCGGTTCGTGTATAATTAACTTAACTTTTTGAACAGTCGGCTAAATAATGCATTTTGGCCATAATATGATGGCAGATCCCGCTAGTTTACAGGATTTTCGAGACAACAAACATGCCTAGAAAAAAAGCTAAATTAGCGTCTTGTTGAAGTTTATACTTGAGCGAAATGTGGCTCATATGTCATTAACTTCGTTTTCTGCTTTTGAACTCTATTTTCTTTAGGATAAATAAAAGAATTCCGAAAATATAAAACCGATACGTTGATTGTGCTTAGAACATTCTTTCTGGTTAAAATCTTGCGTTTTTCGATCTCACTGCCATCTCAGTCTAAAAATCGTGCTTAAAAAATCTTTATTATAAATTAGCGTCATACGTTCTTTAATCATTCGATATCCTTCTATAAATATTCTCACGTCCATGCTAATCTTCTTTTGCGACATTGCTAATTGCTTTTTTATAGTTCGATTCTCTCTTTAATAAACTTATCCTTAATTCTTTGATTACCTTCAACACATACATAATCCATCTTTTCTGCAAATTACCCAATTTACAATAAATCTTGTCATGAAAGTACGATGAACATCTGTAACCGTAATGCATGTTTCTAAATGCTTTATTTTATTTGTTCAATTATACATTTATTTTCACACATTTATCAGTTGGTAAATCCCCCAGATAATACTATCTTATGTAATATTTACTTATTTTCATTTACTCACTGATCGTACCTCTTTGTTTTCCTTTCTAAGTCTATGACGAGACGCGCAAGAATCAAGGGGAAACACCGTACTCCATACTCCGCGAAGTGAATAAGCTGTAAATAAGTCTTTCAAAAATATGTCCACATGGGTCAATAGCCGAAAATACTTGTCCGATATAACGATTTTGACCTATATTAGTGCTTTAAACACTCCTTTAGTCATTTTTCTGGCATAATGAAAACTTATCTATTTCACAAAAACATACCATTGGATAGTTCTTGAAATTCTGTACAAAGTGAGCTGGCCAGAATATCGAAACAGATGGAGCCAGTCATTAAGATATGGAAAAGAAGCGTTTGGGTGTTCTCTATGCAGTACAGTGTGTCATAATTACAAGAACTCCTTTGTTCCAAAAAAGGAAACATTCCGGTGAAAAAGCATGATAGACACCCACGAGAGGTCTTATTTTACTTTCAAATTCTGAGTAAAATAACACATCTTGTGGGTGTCTATTATGCTTTTTCACTGGAATGTGTTAGTAAGTTTCACGCCCTTTCTCGCGCTTCGTAAATCGACTGTAGTTGCGTACGAAAGCATGATATACAGCTGAGAGATGTCTCATTTTACTCAGAATTTTATGCTCTATCACGGTATATGGTTGGCAAAATTTTCTAAGCAAAATCAAGGACTTGGTTTTCTAGCGATGAGGTTTTTCGAAAAGCCCTTTTATTAATTTTTCTCATGAAATGGCGATATGCACCTCATCTGATAGAAAAGTCTTCAGGCTATTCAAAACAGAATTCAGATTGGTTCCACTTTTTAATGAATAATCAAAAAAAACGGAGTTCTTGTGACTATGACACACTGTACTGCATAGATAACACTCCAACGCTTCTTTTCCATATCTTAATGACTGGCTCCATCTGTTTCGATATTCTGGCCAGCTCACTTTGTACAGAATTTCAAGAACTATCCAATGGTATGTTTTTGTGAAATAGATAAGTTTTCATTATGTCAGAAAAATGACTAAAGGAGTGTTTAAAGCACTAATATAAGTCGAAAACCATTATATCGGACAAGTATTTTCGGCTATTGATCGATGTGGACATATTTTTGAAAGACTTATTTATCGCTCATTTTGAAGCCCTTGAAATTCTCTATCGAACGGTATATAATACTTGATATTTGCTCTAGAGCAAAGGAGTAGAAACTGAAATACTTTTAGTAAAGATTATCTACCGAGAGAAGATGCTTTTTTGGTAAAACGTTTTCAGCGGCGCCGATTTTCGGTCTTATCGTCCCCCATCCTTTCATTTTTCCCCATTCATACTTCTTTTCTACCTTTCAGACTATATTTTTCAGATTCAACATTAAAATGTGAATATAAAACTCAGATTTACTTGACTTCAAACTCAAACTTCCACTGAGCGTGGCTTTGATAATCAGATCGTTAAAAATGGTATTTTTTGTAGATCTATCTAGCTTTTTGTGAAGAGATGAAGCCGACCTTTTTACTTCATTAGAACCGCTATTATACGAACGTTAAAAGTATGCATCGTCTTTTTCTCATTTTACGTTCCTACTGGAAAAATACATTTTTTCTAAATTAGGAGCGAAAAAGTAAAAATTCTGCTCGTAATTCACTGTTTTCTTCATCAGAATTCAATTAGAACAAATTTATTTTACATTGGACTCTTTTCAGGAAACCTACAACTACACAGACTATAAAAAAAGCGTGTCACAATATCAAAAATGTTACACCGTTCCTTTACAAAATCAACTTTCCTAGGCGTGCGGAAGGGTTTCGAAAAAGCTTTTTCTACCAAAAGAAAGTCCGTTAGCTCCTCTACCAACTTGCTTCCAGAAACTTTTCAGAGGCACAGCTCAATTCGGAGGTTCTCAATCAAAAGTTCTCAAAAAATAGGGACCTTTTCTGTCATGGCGTTACTCGCCGAAAAATTTTTCTAGAAGCTTGAGTCTTAAACTGAAAGTCTTCGTTTTCATAATATAAATAGAGTTTGACGAGCTGCGTCGAATCGTGCCAGAACGAACTTCACGTGAGAAATCTTTACTTTAATGGGGCGGACAACTGAAATTCTGATGGAGTTAGTTGCAAATTATCTCCAAGAGACTTCATCTCTTGCTTGACGCAAGTATCATATTCGAAATCAGCATCGAAAATTGAGTGAATGATATATATGTAAAAAATTTCACAATTTTTCGACAAAAGTCGACTTTTGTCGACAACGGAAGAAAATTTCAAAAAGGACTCACTTTTGTTAATTTTCTACCCTCATCGAAGACTAGGGCAGAAAATTAAGAGTACAAGTAGAAAGCGGAGGCGTGGGAGGGGGTGGGTTAAGTGGAAATGACTTGAAGACAAGTGCACGTACCGAAAACCGCAGTTCTTATTTTCATATCTGACTTTTAATCAAAGCCAAATTCTTTTCCGCTTTAATGCTTACATTTTCCATGCAAACACGATTCGTGGAGGATAATT